GAGCAGACTAAAGACACAACCTACCTCTTTGAAATCATGGTTCGAAAAAAAAAGATGGTGTCCAAACCTGTTAAAATGGTTGAGAAAGCCACTAGGGGGACATTCTGAACCTCCAATTGGTTATTCATGCTATATATAGAAGTAAGTGTATATAAGGGAGCATTTCCAAAAAGGAAAGAGGTGGGTGGGGTGCCACTGTGTTTGATTTATTACATGAGCAATATTTTAGCAAATTGAAAAGATAAGAAGCTCTTGTTTTATATTCTAGCTTGTCAATATCGGTAATTCGAGTTCCTAATTCGTACAAAACTACAGACTTAGTATTTTGACATCACAAACATCTAATTTGAACCAGTGCTGCATTCATCATATCACATGACAGAAACAAATCAATGTTTAACTGTTTTTTAATATGTACTTTTAAATTAAGAATTTGAGTAATGTATAATACTAAGATTTGAATTATAATCTACAGTTTGATACCAAAGTTATTGACATAAGTTCATGAAATAGTAGTTCAATAAAATTTTGAATGTGAGTTAACAAATGCAATGACATGGCCTTTCACCAGTGACCCATCTGGAAAGGGTTAAGAAGCAACCAAGACAGACTCCATTATCAGAGCCGAGAAATCTATTCTCACTCCAACACAATATATTGTTCATTTGGGTATCAATTTTAAGATGTATTTCTGTTGGGCTCAACTAACTCCCATTCAGCTCCATGCTATGGAATAAGCAATCCGAGTCTTACTCACCTTTCCTTCTCCCACTGTATGGATGATTCTTTCTCTTTTGAGGATGTGGGCATCACTCAAATTCCTCATTCCTTTGGGATGAGCATACATGAGATCCCTTCAATGGCCTTTATGCAACCAATGGATCATGCACAATGATTCACTGGATTCCCAGTTTTCTAATTCAGGTTCATCATTTTTTCTCTCGAGGGTGGTTAGATAGGAACAGTACTATGATAGGTGTTACTCTGCCACCACCTTGTCCAGTGATCCAACTCTTCACAGATGCTTTGCTTCAAGGATGTGGTGGGTATCTGGGAATTCCAGGGCCTATGGAAGAAAGATGAGGCTTCTCTACACAATGTTGTAGTACTTATTGCTGTTGAAAGGAAGATGTCTCATGGTCTGGACTTATTAAGAGGAAAAATTGAGGATTCACTTTGACAGTTCCACAGTGGTGTCTTCTATTTCCCAAGAAGGGGGCATTTGGTCCAGGTCTTTTTGTTTTCGAACCTTGGATTTTCTTTCTTGGGCCCACTCCTATCATATCACCCTACTAGCTTGCCATGTTCTGGGATGATGAATTTGGTGGCAGATCAATTGTTTTGATCCAAATGGGTTCTCCTGACAGAATGGATAATGAATCATGAGGTTTTCCATTACATTTGCTATCAGTTTGGAACAATGATCACCAACCACTTGTCAGGTCTTGTTGATAGCACTAGATTGGCACCGAAACCCTGGTTTCTGCTTCTGCAGTACCTTTAGGAGTGCCCACCTCTTCCACTTCCTCTTTGGCCATCTCTGTTGAGGCAGCCAATATCTGACATTGGACATTCAGCCATCCTGAAGCTCCAGCTTCTTGAATGGAGGTTATGTCGTCCTTCGTATGGTGTCAGGGTTTAACTTCTAAGGTTGCTATGTATCCATCTCAGTCTTTGCATAGTCCCACAATGGACATTTATCAATGGAAATGGCACACATATTGACAATGGTGTAGGAATAGGAGGTTGAATCCACTTCATCCAGAAGTGCCAACCATAACTCGTTTTTTTACCTGGGTTATTGACAAGGGATTTGCATCTTCCACAATCAACTTGTATAAGGTAGCATTATTGGACTACCTTTAAATACTCAAGTTGAAAATTATTTGAGTCCCCAATGCTCTCTGGCCTCCTCGAGTTGTTTCAGGTTCTTCATTCCAAATAACCATTTCAATTACCTAACTGGTATATTAAGGTGGTATTTCATTCTTTTTCTCTACATCCATTTGAGACCTTAGCCCCATGTACAATATATTACCTTTCCCATAAGGTTTAATTTTGTTGCTACTGGCCTGCAGACATCACCGGTCAGAGTTGTTTGTGCTTATTGTGCACTGGACACTTTATCATTCTACCTATGTCCTCCTATACTCAGACAGATTCTTTTTTCTTAAGACACTGGCAGCCAGGGAAGGGGCTAAATCCTTTTCACCAATTCACCTGACCACTATTTCTCACTTCTATGATTGATCAGATCTTGATGATTTGTGGTGTTCAGTGAGGGTCATGAAGTGTTATGTTGTCCACACTAATGCCTTTAGAAGTGCTAGACAATGACTTTTTATTCATTAGGATCCTTTAGTTTTCTGGGACTTATCCCCAATTACTTTGTTGAGGTGTATATGGAATTGATCCAAATTATTTATTCTGGGCTCTTTTGGAGGTGAGGAGTCTTCTTCAAGTCACATCTCTTCAGATTTGCCACACTCTTAAGGCACCCCCCAGTGGCACAGTGGTATGTCTGTAAACTTACAATGCTAGAATCCGGGTTTCAATACCGTGGTGGGCAGAGCACAGATAGCCCATTGTGTAGCTTTGTGCTTAATTACAAACAAACACTCTTAAGACCTTCTCAGCCCAGTTGAATTGCCCACTTGAGAACATTGTGCAGGCTGGTATGTGGACTTCCTTCAATACTTTTATCTCACATTACTTACATGATGTAGCAGTATCTTCCTCTGAGGGTTTTTGGATTACTTCCAGTAACTTTCTTAACCACATCTGCTAGAGGTGTGAGCATCTTCATTAATAATATTGTCTCTTCTTTATTTTCCTGGGTCCCTTACCTCTTTTTTTTTTCACAGGATCCCAGTCTGTGGCGAGTGTTGCCCAGGCAGGTGTGCTTTTATCAAACCAATTCTGCACTAGCAACCACTAACACAATATACTTTATTTAGGTTGCAACAGGCTCTGTAGAAATGTGGTTCCCATAAGACTACTTAGAGGCAACCTGGGTGGTATTACTGTACTAAGCTGGACTGCCACTCATGGACTATCATGAGTAAAGCATAAAGGGGATCCTGTCTGTCCCTGCCAATCATTGGATTGAATAAATCGTGATTGGTTTGTTTTTAAAAATTGAGGAAACTTGTTTCACCTATTGCACTATTTCCTGAGCACTGTTCCTTGGGGCTCCTCAATGTACAGTACCCCTCGTTTCCTACTAGTGGAGCTAGAGAGTTCTTACCACGCCCAGTTTCCAGTTGCTAGGGGGATGGACAGAGGCTATTCTTTCAGAGTGTTCGCATGACTTTCTCCACTCTTTGAGAGGAGAATGAAGTTGGGGGCCCTTCTACATGGGTCTCTGAATGTTTTTCTCAGATGTTGGTAGGAGAGGCACCAGCCTAAATGGGAGCCTTCTCATAGTACTGGTTCAGAGTTTGATGATCAGTTATCCAGTTGGGTTGAATGTGACCATTCTCTTTGATCAATATCAGTTCAGTTCATTGTTCATGGAAGAGTGTCCTTGGTTCAGCACAATTTATTCCAGGTACTTCCCAAAATTCTGGGGGAAAGTGGAATTTACCTTGTCCACACAGTTGGGGAGTGAGGATGAGTGTTCATAATTCCAGACTGAATGAGTTCTGTTTCCTCATGTTAAGTGTGGCATAAAGAATCCTGTCATTCCAGGTTTGGAGTGTTGCCTTTTGGACTTCTTCAGATTGAGGAGAGGGTTTGTCCACTTCAGTGTTGCTTACCTTCTCATCATGATTCCGGTGGCTCAGAATGCATCACTCTATAGCTACAGGCTGGGGTCCACTCACAAATATATATATATGGTATGCTCTTCAATGAGAACCTAAATTGTGCAATTCAGGTGGAATTTCATGTGATCCATCATTACTATAGGCCAGGCCTCAACCAGATAGGTAAGGTCTCACTACTCGGGGTTGGAATTATAGGGCCATGGTTCCTAAATCCCACATTGGTGGCTAGGGCACTTTGACCACAATATATATATTGTTTTGGATTAGTGCAGTTCCCTCATTATGGTGCTAATCATCCACAATCTACACAGATGCATTCTGTATGAATAATGCCCTAACTGGCTCCTCCACCTTGTTAATATGTGATTCTAGGTATAAGTGGGAGTAGAGGTATGTATGTTTTGGAAGGTAACATTTTCTTAAATTGAAAATGTATTTCCAATGTTGTTGAGAACCAGGTGTTATAAAAATTTCAAGTACTTATAAAAAGGTTAATGAAAACTTGTGGGTATCACACAAACAGAATTTGTTTTTTGTAGTCATATGTCAAGGAGTTTACAGAGCATCTTGAGTTTAAGCTGCTACTCTAGATATAAGCAAGTGTATTTATACATGTATATGTTTTGCTAAAGTGTACTTTTTTATTATATTTTTTCTAGATTCTGCCATCAAACAGTTTGTTCAATTAGATGGAATTTCCTTGACCCTGAAGGCTTTAGCAATAGAAGATTTGAGCATGCAAGAGTTTTTAACTGCCATTCTTGTGTACGTAGCTGGACATTCTGATTACAGAAATGAAATAATTGTAAACAATGGAGTGGCAGTTTTATTGAAGAAACTTGATTCATCAAATTCTGATGTTCAGAAAAATTCAGTAGAGATATTGAAATGCTTATTTGAAGTAAGATTTCTGACTTTAATACACTGTTTGTTATATTAATATAGATTCACACTAATTTATGGATTTTTAAACAGAAGAAAGAAAAATAATACTTATGTTTAAAAGGAGATGACTTGAGTTTTTTCTGCATTAATAGCATCTGCTTTTTTTAATTTTACTGTTCATGTGATGAATATCTTTATGAACATTTTAAGTCATACAAATAAAATTAGTTCCAGAATGAATTTTTCTGTTTTTCAAATTATGCATAATTGATGTCATTTCATGAAAATTAACTTTTGTATGGATTTTCAAAAGCTAAATAATGTAATGTTTTTCATAAAACTGAAATTGCTATAAATTTCATGAATAGTTTACTAACTTAAATAGACATTTGTTTACTAAATTATAAATTTTTAAAGTAAAATTTAAATAATTTCTGTATTTGTCGAAGAAGTAGAATAAACTAATCTAAAAGTATGATATGTTCACTACATTTGGCAACATAAACCATCCAGCATGCTCTGTAAATACCATACCAAGTAGGTGGATATGTAGCGTTCTTGATGCTAAAATAGTTTAATTTAAGTGAATTTGAGAAGGGAAAGATTTTAGGCATCTGATTTTAGTGACTTTGCTGTGTCCAGTGTAACCCCATATGAGGGTTGTGCTGTTTGCCTTCCATGAATACAGGTACCTTGAAATGCATAAGTCACATAAGCCATACATAGTCTTCGAGAATGGTATTCATTGGAGTTTTGATAAGAGTGGGTAACTTCACCCAGTTTCAGAGTAATGGCTGAATGTAGTACGGGGAAGAAATCCCACATTGTGTTGGTCTGTGATGTGAGTGTTGAGGTGTGGGCTGCATGAGGAGTGAGATCTATTTGTGAAATGCCTGCACTCATTACAAGAAAACTTTACCGAGTGTGTTCCATAGACTATGGTGAATTTCTTTTAGTCAACCAATCATGTATTCTGTTGCTCCAGCAAGACTATGATTTGAACCACAAAGCACTCGCATCTCTTATGTTGTTTAGAAGCTGAAAGCACGGCTCACAAAATGTCAGTAGTTATTCAAGCTAAGGCATGTGCTTTACAGTATTAAGAAATATGCGATTAGCTCTTCTCTTTGACTATGTGCCCAAATGGTTCTGGAATATTAATTTATTATTATTAATTTCATACCTTTTGAAAGGCAAATTTTTATAAGCTAGAACTTGTTGCTGTATACTTTTTGTGTTTTTTAATTCTTAAACATGCATTAACTTCTCTTCAGTTCTAAATATTCTGTTTGATTGTATCAAACATTTATTTTTGAAAAATTATTATGTAATATAGTGCTTTATTATGTTTTCAGAATCCAGAGGCTGTCAATCAGTTTTGTGAAGCTGGAGGCTTACGTATTTTGTTTTCATTGTTATCGTCTCAGTTTCCAGTCATCCAGGTGTTAGCATTAAATGTTTTACAGAAGTGTGCAAAAAATGGTATTTGGTGTTCTCATACTTTTTCACTATTTAAAGTTCTACTTTACATGTAAGTTATTTACAGTAGTGTGATAGAAGTTCACCTGTGCATGTGGTATTTTTATTAGGAGATTTGAACTGTCTTCAGTTTTGTCACATAATTGATGTGATATTTTGCAGTATTCACAGAACAATGGGAAACAACCCAAAATTGCAAGATTATGTGCATTTTATTTTAGTGCAAGGCTAAACAGTGGGAGTTTTATGGTGATCAAATCTGAAATTTAAATTGTAGGCCCTTTGTATTACTGCTGAGCCACTGAGGAGGTGTATTGAGGTGAAGTATTATTCTATAGTAAACTATCATTTTTACTGAATTCTCAGATGAAGTAAATAGTGTTGTGTTTTTATAGAAAAAATGATTTGAGTTTGGGTTATTTTAAAAGTTAGTATTTTTAATTAAACAAACATTCTAAATTGCGAAATAGGTATTTAATATAAATTGTATTTCTTCATATTAAAATAAATTATGTTGTTAGCTGTACTGAAGAGTTTAAACAGTAAAAATTGAATATGCATTTTCAAGACTGAGAAATATCTTGATTAGTAAATTTCATTTTTTGGTTTTAGTTATTTTGTTATCAGTTATATATATTTTGTTTCTATTGTTTAATTCAGCTATATTTGTATTTTTCTGAAAGTTTTACTTACTTGCTTCCTAGTAAGTATTAAATATTAAGTCATTTTTATATTAAGATACCAACAGTCTGCGTATGATTATGTTAAATGCTAAGTTGTTAGCCATGTAATATGTAATCCTTTGGTCTGGAGAGGGAATATAAACACTTTTGAAGAAGTTAAGCAAGACTGTCAAGAGGATTTAGACTCAAGGCTGTAATGATACATAAGATAAGTTTGAACTATTTAAAAAGAAATAGATTAGTGCATATATTTACATGATCTTTATTTATGATTTAATATTGTTTTTAAGAAGTGTCTAATATTGTTCTTTTGTGTAGTCTAAGGAATTAAGTTTTTTCTTTTTAATTCGTTTTTATTATTTGGTATGAGTTATTCTTAACAACATTGCTTATTGAATATTTGTGTTTGAGGTAGAGACATTTCGTTACAAACTCCTGGCCAGGTACTATTTTATTATTGGATGTTGATACTTTCTCAAATTTTTATTGTGTTTAATAAATTTGTAATATATCATACCCTGGTAGAAACATGATTATTTAATATCTTACAATGCATCGAGGAAAATGTCTTGAGATTTTTCCCTTGCTCTTTTGTATTTCCTTCTTGAGTCACTAATTGTTTTATAAGGAAATTTAAGGAGCTTGAGAATTTGGATTCTTCAAGTTTTTCACTATATAGTAGTCACTGGTTGAAACATCTTTGCGACACGTTCACCAAAAATTTGATCAGACTAGTCACCTGTTGTGAAGTTTGAGGTTTTTTTGTATACACAACAATTATGCTTAGATATATCTATTCAAATGGGCCTCCCAGTGGCAGAGTGGTATGTCTGCGGATTTATACCACTAGAAACCATATTTCTATACCTGTGGTGGGCAGAACACAGATAGCTCTTTGTGTAGCTTTGTGATAAATTACAAACAACAACAACTATTCAAATGGAGTTGTATATCTCAGACACATTCTTTAGATATTATGTATTAGTTTGAACAATTGTAAGTTATATTATTTATGGTTGACAAGTTTTAGCACGTTGTCTTTTTTACAGCTGATAACATATAAAACATAATTTTTTTTAGGTTCTCTAAAGAATAACATTGTGTTTCATATTACGTATTTTTTAATTGCAACATATCGCATACAATGTTTTCTAAATTTTTGTTTTACCTTTCTGAAAGAGGTCAACCATCCTTTTCTTAAAACTAAAATATTTAAGAATAAAAAATAATTGAAGTGTAAAAGCATTTTACAATTCAATATACATAAACATTTAAGCAATGAAAAATTTACTCATTTCATTGGTTCTACATTAATGATGTTTAATGACTGATTTTTGTGCATGAAGGGTGTTAAAAAAGAACTAACTACACAGTTTTATTCTTAGTAAGAATCAATTTTCTGTTCTTTATTGTGATTAAAATAATGTCTGTTAATGTGCAATAATTTAATGTTACTTGAAAATAATAAAGATGGATACTAGATGTCATATTTTTTATATGTTATTGTTTTTCATATTATCAGCTGTAAATAAATTTTTGAAAACATTTTTTCTGATCAAAAATTGCAACTTAACTGTTCTGAATTTATTTGCTACTTTTTAAAATGCAAATTATTAGGCTATATCAGTATATATTTCTGATTTTGGTTTTTATTTATATATTTATTTCTTTGACCAGAATCATGCAGAAAATGGATATTGTTGAAAGATGGAGTGGATCAGTTGATGGAAATTCTCTATAATGATGAATTTTCTGATCTTCATGCTTCCACACTTGGAATCCTTCTTGAGTGTGCTAGTAGCCCAGATATTGTAGTTGTGAGTTGAACTTTTGATATGCTATTGATATTGTTGAAAGATGGAGTGGATCAGTTGATGGAAATTCTCTATAATGATGAATTTTCTGATCTTCATGCCTCCACACTAGGAGTCCTTCTTGAATGTGCTAGTAGCCCAGATATTGTAGTTGTGAGTTGAACTTTTGATAATATATGTATGGTTAAGCCAAAACTTAGAAAACCTGTTGTTATACACTAGTAACCTACCTGATCTACTCCTATATCAGTTACTGTTATAACTTTTTTGCAAAATGTAATTTTTTTTTTTCATTTCAGCTTGAATCTTTCTTCGTGTATTCTTTAAGATGTTAGTGTCAGCACCAGATATGAATACTTTACTAGTCACAATGAAGCTGTAAGGCCAATATAAATATTTTTCTGTCAGGGTTTGAACTTAACACCATTTCTATAACATGTGAAAGTTTTAAAGCTTTCATTAATATTTTTCTCTAACTGCTTCCCTTATATAATATATATGAATTTTTTTTACAGTACCTTCAGAAAGTGTCAGCAATAAACAACTTTCTGTCTTTTGTGGAAGGAACAGAAGACAATGAAACAAAACAGTTATCCCTAAGCATCCTAGCTAAAATGGCCCAGACAAGTAAGGTTTATTATGGTTTTAATTTATGTTATATAATGTTATATAATTCTAAAAGAATGACTTTCATATCCATATCACTTTCACAAGACTGTTAATAAAGTTTAATAAAACATACTTCCAGCTTGTACTATAAATTTTTCAGTTTGTCAATGAATTTAGTATTACTTTCACTGAGAAGTAATGTTTTATATCACATGATCTTTAATATAAGAAGCTGATCTGTGCTGCTTTTAGTCTATAGTGTAATCAAAGATTAAATGTATTATAATTTTTATTGGTCGGTAGTGTGTTATTTTGTATCTTTATTGTGCGATACCTGTTTTATATTATGTTTTAGTGTCATCAGTGATTATGTGTAATATCAATTTTGCTGAATAATAATGTATTATTTAGTGTATTCTTTAATGTAATTGAGCTAGTTTATTGTGTATATAATGTCATTAGTGATTAGTACCAGTTTCATGTGATAATGTGTGCTTTGTTTTAATGATACTTCCATTTCTGACAATTTTTTTAAGTGATTGAGACTAATAACAAACTTAGTTGGTATGAAAATGTTAACTTCTAATGGGACTTTAAGTTTGTATTTCTAAATATGGTGATGAAAATACATACAGTTTATTAAGCATTTGTTTTTATAAATTTCCTTTCTCTCCGTAATTAAAATGATTCCTCCTAAAAAAATAGTCAGCTAGAGTTACAAATATCCGAGTTCTCTTACTCCCAGGATTTATTAGGTAATAGAATCCCTTAAAAATAAATATGCATAATGTGCTTTAAAAATTATCAGGTACTTATCTGGAATGTAGTTTAGTCCTCTGTTTTCATGATTTCATTTCTTCTTTACCAATTGGTGGATAAAATTGTCTTGTAAATGTTTGCAAATTTTGCACTATAATTACACAAGTACATTTATTGCCAAATAAGACATAATAAAACTTAAACTCAAATCTTGCAGGCATGTAAGTAAATGTGGAATTTAGCGAACAGAAATAGCACTATAGATTTCAAATAATCACAGATGTAATTTGTTTTAGTTGTAATTGTTACTTTAAATAACTATCATTGTATAAAAAAGTTGATTTTTTTTTCATTGTGCAAATGGTTTCTTATCTATCTCAAAGGCTGTGTTTGATTCATTTTTAAAGTAAGTATAATACTAATTTTATTAATACATAAAAGTATCTTATCCATTCAGATGAATTTCGAGATCTTCTTCACTGTGATGGGATAGAAAAAAATTTACATCAGCTTCTTAATCATCATTCTCAAAGTGTTCAAACTGCTGCTGCTGAAGTTATAACAGAAATGGCTGCTAGTCACTCCAGCAAGGAATCTTTTCTTAATCTTGGTACAATATTTTTATCATGCTTATATTCATTCAAGTAAAGGTATATTTATCTTCTCTTACAATCTTGTAACATCACATTATAATGTTTTAGCCAGAGACATCACTAAGAACTGTAAAGTAAAACATTTAACACTTATTCATCTGATGATTGTATCTTGCAGGACATCATATGATGCAGTATTCATTTTGCAATAACTGCAGATTTCCAAATATGTGTACAAGTGATTGGCATTCTTTTCTATTCCAGGCTAGAAGACTATGTATTGTAATGATGTTATCCACTCATATCTGAAGCTATCATTTTGGTCACCTTTCTTGTCAAATACGTTTATAGTATAGCGTTTTAGCTTGTAGCTTCCATAACACAAATGTTGATTGATTTGACACATGTTCATTATTTATTTGAGCTAACTTTTCTGCTTGACTGAGAGTTAGCATTGACATAGTCCTCTTGTATGCTTTTTTGATTAGACAGACTGAAACTGGAAGTTATATCCAGTTTTTATAGTCTTGGCCTGCCATGTCTAACATTTCTTTATTTAAGGTGTCTATTTAGACTAATTTTATAAGGAATCAGTGTGCTAGATATTCAGTAACAATCATTCCCTTGTAGATTAATATACCACGCAATATACTTAACACACACACACACACACTGGCATTTTCTAGTACTGATTTCCATTCTGTAATCCAATTTTACCTGAAACATAAAAATATTTCACTCCCTACTTGTTATTAATGTTTTATGGGTGATCTAGTCCAGTAATCCTCAAACTTTTAAGATTGCAATTCCCTTTGCTCCCTCCCCATTCCACCTGGAAAAATGAAATAAACAGATTTACGTCACATTTAATCATCATTGTTGTCAACATTTTTTGTGTTCAGATATGTGAGTGTTAACTGTATTACTTCAGTGTAGTGGCATTATTTGTTGCAGTAAATAATTTTTGCACTAATGTTTTTCTTTTTAATCTTCTCATGGACCCTGAGAATATCTTCTCTATGCTCCTCCAGTTTGAGAGCTACTGGTACAGTCTACTGTATGTGCACCTCATTGCCATTTTTTAAAATTTCTGTATAATTGTCTGTTGTTTGGGGAAAACAAACAAATAAAACATCTAGTATCTTGTATAAATATATCTTTGTATTATCATAAATGGATGGGTTTAAACCATACATTTTGGATTCATGAGAAAACATCAAACACCTGAGGACTTTTTCAAGTTGTGTTTTCTTCTTAACAATATTACATCTGTAAAACTGCTCAATAAATTTACAACAACCTGAATTTGGTACATATGCCTGTAAACTACATTTTAGCTCTCAGTAATATAGTAATGTCTTATAACTGTGAAGAACACATACATTTGTCTTGTGTATTACACAAATCTTCTGTAATTTGAGATTTTAGTCAAGAAGTGTTATCATCAATATATAATGGATTATGTGTGGCACTAGATTATTGTTGATTCTTTTATTTTTATTATAGCATTGGGATGAAAAGCATAAAAATCATATGTTTAGCTCACTCAGAAAGACTACATTGCATTATTAGTGTGTAAAGAAATAGTTCTTGTTGCCCTGAAACTACACCATTAAAATTAGTGAGCTGTGCACTATTGTTGGCCTACTTTAAGTGAAAAACAGTAAATTTATAATTGTGGTTCCACTGGTTGTTTGTAAAGATACTTTACTTCTACATGAGCTTTCATTAATCTTTTTAAAATTCTTGAAATTTTTTATAATACCTTGTTCTAAGCAACATTGTAACTTATGAGGGCAGTTTAAGTTAGTAATATAGTTTTTTATATTTGTACATCTATTTCAGGCCCGGCATGGCCAAGTGGTTAGGGCACTCGACTCGCAACTGCGGGTTGCAGGTTCAACTCCCCGTCACACCAAACATGCTTGCCCTTTCAGCCTTGGGGGCATTATGAAGTGATGGTCAATCCCACTATTTGTTGGTAAAAGAGTAGCCCAAGAGTTGGTGGTGATGACTAGCTGCCTTCCCTCTAGTCTCACACTGCTAAATTAGGGACGGCTAGCACAGATAGCCCTCGTGAAGCTTTGCACGAAATTCATAAAAAACAAACAAACATCTATCTCACTAAATGATCTTAAAAAACCTTAGCATTTGATGTTTTTTATTCATACTTTGATATGTGACTTTATTGAGCAATCATTTCAAAAAGCTTTTTTTATAATTTCGTTTTTCTTGACTGGTCAAAAACATGTTTTGAAAGAATATACTGTTGTAAAAACCAATACTGTAATTGTACATATCTGAATTGCTTTTGAAACAGAGAAAGTTAGGAAAGCATCTTGCGGTTATTCTGGGCTAACATTTGTAATCTGCTTTCCTACTATCCAGGTACAGTCAATCAGCTTTCCACTCTTCTGCAGACATCTAGTGATGTGCACTTGTTGCAAGCTTTAATTTCATCATTATCTGTCCTTACAACAGGATCACTGAAGTCTTGTAGGTAGGTGAGCTAATCATTTTACTTACTAGAACAGGATCACTGAAGTCTTGTAGGTAGGTGAGCTAATAGTTTTACTTACTAGAACAGGATCACTGAAGTCTTGTAGGTAGGTGAGCTAATAGTTTTACTTTCTAGAACAGGATCACTGAAGTCTTGTAGGTAGGTGAGCTAATAGTTTTACTTACCACAACAGGAACACTGAAGTCTTGTAGGTAGGTGAGCTAATAATTTTACATGGAGATAAGGAACAATGATAGTTTGGTTACAAATAAAAAAAACAACAAATTTTGAACAAGAATTATCTGTTGTGAATTGGGCAGCTGAATTATCTGGAGACACTGAACAGATGTAGAAAATTTTAAATATTCAAGGTAAACATATTCCTTATAGAAAGAAAAGGTAGCTGCATGTAAAAAACCAGGTTATCTTACAAAAAGTATAAGAGATAAAATTAAAGAAGAGCATCATAACTTTAAGAAATTTTAATTGACTGGTATGACAGGAGACTTAGAAGATCAAGAAAGTTGGTGAAATAGGGAAATAGGACATCACAATGGATGTGTGAGTAAAAGTTGGTTGAAAATGTAAAAATTAACAGTTAGAATTTCTTTAAATACATTGAGGGTAAACAAATGCTAGGATGGGGTAGGACCTTTGAGGGATGATAAAAGAAAACTCGTATCTGCTGATTATGAGATGGCTGGGTTATTAAATTTTGCTTTTTCTTCGGTTTTTAATAACAAAGTTTTAAGCAGTATTCCATATCTTAAACAGTTGACAGATGGAAATGAGATTGAACAAGGTGACTGCATTAATTCTGAGCTGGTTAATAAAAAATTGGGAAGTTTAAAAAACAACAAGTATCCTGGGCCAGATAATATTTCCCCAAGGGTTTTGAAGGATATTGAAGATTGGATATGTGAGCCACTTTCTACTATTTTTTGTCAGTCCTTGAATAGTGGCCAGGTACCAGTTAGCTAATGTAACTCCCCTTTTCAAGGGAGGTGATAAAAATTGTCCCAGAATTATAGACCCATTAGTCTTACATCAG